GCCGGGAGCGGGTGTCCCCCGCCGCCGCCGCCGTCATGGTGTCCCCGGTCACTGTGGTGAGTGAGCGAGCGAGCAAGCGGGCTTCTCCTCGCGCGCCCGCGGGAGGGAGGAAAACACCGGGCACGTGACTAGGAAGCGTGACTTTGTTGATCCGTGTGTGTGTGTGTGTGTGTGTGTGTGCGTGTGCGTGCGTGCATGTGTGCTTGGCGCGGGTCCGCGGGGTCGCGGCCCGGGGCTACGGCAGCCGATCATGGGGGGTCGTGGAGGGGGCAGGAGTGTAGCGGGGACTTCCTGGGAATCCAAGTTGCTTTCCTCCTTTTCCTCGCCTGTAAACAAGGCGAAGGATGGACGCACCGAGTCTACGCTGCACTGTTAGGCGCGGGGGGAAGGTGGGTCATTATTGACTTAGCCTCCTTATCAGGCTTTTTCAACTCCAGCCTTTGGCTCGTCTTCCTACCCTTCTTTTTCTAGCGCTGGACTCTCTACGGCTGTCTTGGTCTCCCTGACCACTGCCAGTTTCTGGCAGAAATATGGGGTTGGGGTAGAGGAGGGAGAGGACCACTGATGCTTGCCAGGGCTGGGAGGAGGCATCTCCTCCTGTCTCCGCCTCTGCTTTACCCTCACCCTGACCACCTCGATGGGATGGTGGTCGTGGTGTTCTTTATGATGGAGAAGTCATCTCTACTCCCTGCTCTTCCAAGAGCAGGCTGCTCTCTCCATCACGGTCTGTCTTATCAGTATTTGATGGTCCGGGAATCACTTTTTCCCCCCCGAACCCTGTGCTTGATCAGCCAGAGACACTTTAGCAGAGAAAAATAACTTAAGGCAGAGTGTGGGTATTCAGGACCCCAGCTACCCAAGGAAAGGCGCTTCAGGGGATCCCGTATTCAGAATCTCTGCAGCCGTCCCTCCCCCAGCTTGGACTATGCTTGCAGTGGCCTTGGGTGCAACCTTTCTTCAGCCACCCTCCCCCTAATCCGGCTGAGACCAAGTCAGCTGCTCCAACTTCCCTCTCTCAGTTCGGTCTCCTCCCAAGCTGTCTGCTGGCCTCAGATCAGAAGCTGGGAAAAGAAGCCCTCCCTCACTCCCTTCCTGCCTTTCTCCCCTCCCTCCATTTGCTCTTGTTTCCCTGGGAAACCACACGCACACACGCCCCTTCCCCCAATCCCTGCCATCTCTCATGTTTCCGGGCAGTTTCCTTACTCTCAACTCATGGTTTTCTCTCTACCCAGCATTCTCTCCCTAGCCACCCTCCTCCTCCTCTGGTGCCACCTTTGGTCTAGGGCAGGTGGAATGGAGGCTGAGGAGGACAGAGCCTGAGGGGGAGGTGGTTGCCATCTCCCGCCCTCCCACATTCCTGGCACTCACCTGGTGTTGCCAAGGCCCTAAACTTGTGTCCTGGCCACTGCTGAGGATCATGAGCTGGCTGGTCTCTGTGCTTTTGCACTGATTTCACTCCGGTTCACACAACTGGGGGCTGATGATGATAGGGAGGGGGCCAAGGAGGTGCTATGGAGGCTGAGAGAGGGACCAGGGAAGGGAAGAGCATTGAGGGAAGAAGGGGACAGTATGCTCAGGACTGTGAGCTGCCCGGCCCCATGGACAAGAGTAACCAGGATACTGGAGCCTCCCTCTCCCAAGGAATAGGGCTTAAGGGTGCGGACAATGGCTTTGCTCACTCACTCCTGCGGGTTGGAGAAGGTCGGTCTGGGTGGCTCTGTCCTCCCTGTTTGGGGGTAGGTGGTGGGGTTGAAGGTGCTGGCTCTAAGCCCCACAGTGGGCTTCTGAGCTTCCAAGATCTCAGTGCTACCCTTGTCCTATGTCTTCCAGGTGAAGAGTGAGGGGCCCAAACTGGTGCCATTCTTCAAGGCCACCTGCGTGTATTTTGTGCTCTGGCTGCCCACCTCCAGCCCCTCATGGGTCAGCGCCCTCATCAAGTGCCTGCCCATCTTCTGCCTGTGGCTCTTCCTGCTGGCGCATGGCCTTGGATTCCTGCAGGCCCACTCCAGCGCCACCCGTATCTTTGTGGGGCTCATCTTCTCTGCCCTAGGTGATGCCTTCCTCATCTGGCAGGACCAGGGCTACTTCGTGCATGGTCAGTGGTCACCATAGCTGCCCTCAAGGGGTTTGAGGCTGGGGGAAAGAGTCCTGAGGGAGCCACAGATTTGGACAATGGAACTTTTGAACAGGAAGTTTGAGGTGTTCCCAGGCCAGGGATGATGGGACCCTCTGTAGGTGGGCGCTGGTGATCTAATGATCAGTTTAGGACAGTGTATGTGTGTACGGGGGTGATCTTTACTTTGTGGATCATCCCACCCCTGTGACTTCTAATGCAAAGCTGCTGGGTTATCCCCACCCCCAAATACTCCTAGTCACCGCCTTCAGCATCCGGTATCCCCTCTCACTGCCAGGTATGCTGATGTTTGCTGTGACCCACGTGCTCTACGCCTCGGCCTTTGGCATGCGGCCTTTGGCTCTCCGGACGGGTCTGGTGATGGGAGTGCTGTCAGGCCTGTGCTATGCCCTCCTCTACCCTGGCCTCTCAGGAGCCTTCACCTACCTGGTGGGAGTCTATGTGGCCATCATCAGCTTCATGGGCTGGCGAGCTATGGCAGGGCTGCGGCTGATCGGGGCAGCCTGGCGCTGGACGGAGCTGGCCGCTGGCAGTGGCGCAGTGCTCTTCATCATCTCAGACCTGACCATCGGGCTCCACAAGTTCTGCTTTCCTGTGCCCTACTCTCGGGCACTCGTCATGTCCACCTACTACGCCGCACAGATGCTCATCGCCCTGTCGGCTGTCGGGAGCCGGGAGCCTGTGGCAGACTATGGACCGAGCAAAGCAGACTGAGGGGCCAGGGTCTGCGTGTTCATCTCTCTTGGGGTTGTGGTGCAGACCCTGGGAACCTCCTGTAGGAGGAGCTGCGCCAGGATGGCTGTAGGGCAGCCCGGGGCAGCAGGTACTGAACTGGAGGGGATGAGCAGAAGGATGACACTTCAAGCTGAGGCAGGCTGCTGCCTGCCCCCAGGTGGAGGCAGAGGGAGACCTCTCCCACCTCTACTCCTTTGGGACTGTCCGATCCGCCCCCGGGATGATGGTGCTGGCCTTCTTCCCTGCCAGGTGGAAGTGTGGTTGCATCTCTTACGCCTAGGACCAAAGCAGTGCTGGGCTTATCCATTCCCACCCTTGCTCCTGTAACGAGTTGCAGGAAAGAGGAGAGACATCTGTGCTGAGAGGACCCCCGGCCAGGGCTCGAAGGACTTTTCCTTGGCCCTCAGTAGGGAAGATTGGATGAGGGCGGAATTCCTTTCCGTATATCTGTCCTTATTACTTGAACAATCCTTAAGTGGTTAATGCAAAGAGAAGGGGTGTCTGTTTGGGGTGGCAGGAGAGGGAACTTCCTTGGCCAGAGAGCTTGTGTATACCAAGGCTTCAGTTGGCCCTGTGTCTCTCACAGGCCAACCCAGATTTCAGGATTCATATGACCACTCTTAGACCCTGTTCCCAGGGTTAGGGTGAACCATGCCAAAGGAGGGCCAGTCTGTGTGCGTGTGCGTGTGCGTGTGTGTGTGTGTGTGTGTGTGTGTGTGTGTGGTCTGTCTCCCTGCCTGTCTGTGTTTCTCTGCCATATGTCTCTGTCCTGCTGTCTGTAACTGTCTCATAAGGAGAGGGCCTCAGGGAGCTGCTGTGGGGTGCTGAGCCCTGCTCAGAGCTAGGGTCCCCCACACCCATTCTCAGCGCTTTCCTCCCTGCCCCTTCTGCACTGGGAGCAAGAGGAGGGGGTCCAAATGACACTCTGGGGTCTTACAACCCACGGCACATTCAATGCAAGGGGAGCAAGGATGGAGCGGTCCATCCTTTACTGCCCATGTGAAATAAAAAAAAAACTGTATAAAAACCAAGGGCTATCGGCTTCCCCACTCACCTGCCTGTGTGGCGTGTGTCTTTTGGAGAGGGAGTGGGGGCGTGGTGTCAGGAGCCCTGGCTGTCCTCAGAGCCTGGGTCACAGTCTTGGTAAGGGTGTCTTGGCGCCAGGCTGGCTCCTTGGCTCTGCTGACACCAGGCTGGTTGGAGTGGGTCTCACTTCCCTGGTCACGTGTGCACGAGGTTGTGGTTCAAGAGGGTGGGGGATGGGTGGCACTTGCCTCTGGCCAGTGCACTCCCGGATTGCAGATGGCTCAGGCAGTCTTGGTGACCCTAAGTTACCCGTCGTCCTACTCTTGCTGGCCCCTCCCCTCCCCACATCTGCCGCCTGCTCCGAAACTCCCTGGGTTCCTTTTAAGCATCTCCTTCAACTTGGACTCTGAGGAATGGGATAAGATTGACTGATTCATACTCTAGCCCTGACAGAATAATGTCACTCTGCTCTGGGGGCATTTGCATTTTAACAGGCAGTGCCCTAACCCCAAAGTTGGAGTGGCGCTTTAGATTGTGGTGAGGTGACTACAGCCTTTAAGAGTTGTTGCACATTTGTGGGGATACGATGGAGGAGACTCAGATCCCACGGGGGTTGGATGAATCCATATTCTGTCTGTGTCTCTATCTCTATTTTTCCTTTTTGTTTTTTGAGACAGGATCTCACTGTGTAATTCAGGCTTGCCTTGAACTCATTTTGTAGCCCAAGCTAGCTTCGAACTTACGGTGATCCTCTTGCTTCAACTTTCCCAAGTGGTGGGATTATAGGTGTTCGCCACCATGCCTGGCTAAATCCATGAGCTTTCAAGCTAGGTTTTTTCCTTTGTTTCCTTTCCGTTTCCTTCCCCCTCTACCTCCCATCCCTTCCCCTCCCCTGCCTTTCCCATCCCCTTTCCTGTCCCTACCCTTTCTCCCTCCCTCCCTTCCTTCTTTTTGTTCTTTCTTGTGGTGCTGAGGATCAAACCCAGGGCCTTACACATGCTAAGCATGCATTCAACCACAGAGCTACACTCCTAATTTCAAACTATGGCTTTTATAGAGATTCTCAGTAGGAGTCAGTAAAGGAATAAGAAGAGAAAGGCTCAGAGACACTTTATTCTTTTTTTTTTTTTTTTTTTTTTTTTTTTTTTTTTTTTTTTTTTTTTTTGCGATAGGGTCTTGCTACGTAGCCTTGCTATGTGGCCTTGAGCTCACAGTGATCCCCCTGACTTACCCTCCTGTGTGCTGGGATTGCAGGCATGAGCCACCATGCCCTGCTGAGAGTTTACCTTTCCTTCCTCTCTCTCCCTCCCTCCCTCCCTTTCTTCCTCTCTACTCGGGACCAGGTAGTGGAACCCCTGAGCTAAATCCCCGGCCCCTCCTTTTTTGAGACAGGGTCTCGCTATGTAGCTCAGCCTGGGCTTAAACTCTTTATAGCCCAGGCTGGTTTTGAACTCGCAGCCATCTTGACTCAGGCTCCCAAGTTCTGGAATTACAGGTCTGTGCCACCATGCCCCTTTAATCTAATTTCAAGTCTGTAGCTAAGCATTTTTCTCTTCAGGAAGAATCCCATGTAAGACATGTTTGAAACTCAGTGAATGGGATGACCAGCTCTGATAGCAGGATCTCTGGACACTAAGGAGGCAAAATCCTAATCCTTTCAAACCCCAGAATGCTCAACAGAGACCAACTTGGTGTGAAGAAATGAGAGGATGGAAGGAGGAGAAAGATGAAGGGCAAGAGGTGCCCCCGCCTGGAGGCTGTGGAGGAGGAGGAGCCAAGTTGAGGCCCCGGCTGGGCTGGGCTGGTCGCTCCCCTGTGGATGGGTTTGGAGCCTGGTCCCTCCCGAACTCCTGTCCATCCCCTCGGTCCTGTTGTATTCCATTCTCCAGAGCAGGAAAGAGTGAGCTCAGTGAGTTTCCTGCCCCATCCCTACACGGATTACACTGACATGCACTAGAAGGGCCTTCTACATGGGGGTCATGTGGAGGACAGGCCAAGGAGCCCCCATCACTGCAGCCTCCTGGAGCTCACATAAGGTGCTTTGATTTCTTCTGCAGGCTCTCTGTGATGGATGCTAAGACTGTCTTGTCATCTTCATCTGAAAGACCCAAGCATATATTCATTAGTGTTAATGATGCCGGGGTCCAGATAGACGCCACACTGCTGGGCTTAGAGTTATTACACAGGACCTGGGGACTGGACCTTGGGACCCTCAGTCTTGGGTTGGCTGAGTTTGTGTGGCCAAGAGCTGCCACCCGTTCAGCACCTGATATTTCCTGGACACTGTGCTGGGCGCTTCCCTGCATCTTCTCGTTCAAACCTCACAGCCCAGGAGGTGAGGAAACAGGCTCAGAAAGTAGTCAGCAGGGTCACACGGCTGCTCAGCCGTGGAGTCAGGCCCTGCGCCATGAGCTGACAACCCGGACTCTCCAGCCATGCAGTGCCTGCCGGATACCTCCTCCAGGGCGCTCCCTGGCCTAGTTCTGTTACACAGTTTGGCAGCCACTCTGCAAGCTTTGTCATCTCAGTGCCAGACATTTAGCTGAGCACTTGAGAGACAGCAAAAGGACATGGTTCTTTCCCCAGGGAAGGCATCTATAACTGGTAAACAAAGGTCTGTAACCGTGGAGACCGCAACAGTGGAGTACCATCTTGGGAGAGCTGAGGGAGTGACGGGATGAGGCTGGAGAGCTGGGGGCGTGGGGAGATTTTACCGTGAGGATCAGGGTAGAGTTGAGGAGGAGGGTTGGGTAGGAGGGAGCAAAGCAGGTCCACTTTGCATCTGTTGGGTTCATGCTGCTAGCTGTGCGGCTGTGAAAACTGTAGACTCTGGGAAGGAGTAAACGGTCTCCCTACTGTGTGCACACAGGTGAGCAGAAACAAGTTGTACATAGATGAACGGGAGGTTCCCTTCCAGTCCTCCCCATTTGTGCCTCCCATCTGTCCTCATCCTAGACCAGTAGTTTTCAATCTTGATTGCATGTCAGGGTCACTTGCAAAATTTTATAAACATCCAGATTCCTTTCAGAACCTGCCAGAGACTTGTGATTGGTGTGTCTTGTTTAACTGAGCCTTGTTTTAACTGATCCCTCATGGGCAGTTTCTTTTCTTCTTATTTTTTGAGACTGTCTTGCTATGTAGCCAAGGCTGGCCTCAAACTTGTAGCAATCCGCCTGTCTCAGCCTCTGGAGCACTGGAATTATAGTCATGCACCATCACACCTGGCAGTGTCTTTTCTAAAGGTGGAGCAAAGCCCAGGCTGGGTTAGAAAATCATGGTTTATCAAGGGATCACAGACACATATATGCAGGGGCCAGGAATATAACAAGACTTCGGGCGCAGGGACAGTGGTTACCTTAAGTATCTGCACCACCTATTGGCAGCCAGATTAAATAAAGGATGGTGCCAGTGAAACCCAGGGAGCTGATTAATGGCCTAGGAGACTGCAGTTTTGTTCCTGTGCCCCAGAAAGCCCCTCCCAGTCCTAAGGCGCCCTCACCGTAGACCTCAGGGAGCAGCTGTGGTGGACGGTCCTTGCCCAGCTCACCCTGTCCTTCGTTGCGCAGGTGGGGGTGACGCAGGTGGGGGTGACGGTGGTGCACACGCGGCTGGTGGAGTTGTACCAGAACTTGGAATTGGCTGTGATGGACCCTGTAGAGGGTCGCCGTGAGCCGTGGGTCCCCAAGGAAGGCGTAAGTCATGGCGCAGACCTGGCCCCAGAGTACTGTGTGTGGCTTGATTGGGGTCAGGAAACACGGCGCATGGCACCAGTCCTGCTGCGAGGACTTCAGCTTCATGCTCAGGACCCCACCTGTGTGGAGGGACAGGGCAGGTGGTGGTGTTACGGAATTGATCATGTTAAAGTATGCTGTGACGCCCGCCGCCTCACAGGCTGCATTCTCCTGGTACATCTTGGCTCCTAAAATGACCTCATGCCCTTATCTCTGGTTTCCCTCCCCCGCAAGGCCACAGTGGTCCAGGAAAGTTGAAACCTGTGTCTGCAGGACTGGGCCCATAAAAGCATCTGGCCTGTGATAGGTTAAAAGTAGCTCACTCCTCATAAATAAGCAATAGCCCACCCCAAACTGATAAAAGGACCTTCCTTTCTTTGTTCTCTCTCCTTCTGCTTCTTCTTCCTCCTCTCTCTGTCTCTCTCTCTCGCTGTCTCTCTCTCTCTGCCTTCCTGCCTCCTGCTCGCCTCCCTACAATAAAGATCTCCTGCCAGACCTCTCGGTGCGTGAGTGGCATAATTGGGTAAGGGGCACCCAAAGGGGGCTCGAGACCCCTTTCAGGTGGGGAGGGGCCCCTAGGGACCCCACCTGCCCCCCATGGCTTTTAAGCTGGGACGGTGCCCTGGATACCCAGCTGTGTGGAAACACAGTGATCTGGGCCGGATTCTGAGATGCCAGCAACTTATGGGGGCCTTCACTGTACTGATTCCTAAAGGCTCTTCTCCTGGGGTCCCCCACCCCTCTGCCCACCTCCGTCTACTCCAGGATTCCTCAGTGCAAACAGAGGTTTGCACGTTTTTAATCTTCCCAGGTTAGAGGGGCCTTTCCAGCCCCAACTTGGCAGAGCCAGGTACTGGGTATTTGTAACTGTTACCCAGACCCTATGTCAGTTTAACTTCTGTGTCTTCTCTCTGTCATTCAGCCACTCATTTCCCATGTGTACTGATGCTTCTCCACTCGTAATCCCTTCCCTCCATGGTTCCCAGATTTTTTAAATTTTGAGACAGGGTCTCACTATGTACCCCAGGCTGGCCTTGAACTTTGGCAGTCCTCCTGCCTCAGCCTCCTGAGTGCTAGGATTACAGGTGTGTGCCACCATGCCCAGCAGTTTTCCCAGATTTTTTCCTGGGCTCCACAGAGTCCCTTCCCAGTCCTCACTCCAATTACCCCTCCCTTCAGAGCAGACCAGGAGGTCCCCCTACCCCCACCAGTGTCCGTCCCTCTACTGTCACCTCTATGCCCAGGCCTCCCCGCCTCCACGTCAGTCTCACCCTGCAGAGTCCCCCTGAGACACTTCTCTGCTAAGCTTCCTCAACATCTACATTTCCCCCTTCCGTCTCTGTGGCTGTCTGATTTCATCTTAGCTCCTGGTACCCTTTTGTGACCCTCATGTCATCTCTCCCATCAGGGCTCCCCAACCTCAAGTCCCCTCCTCACTCTGGTCCTCGTTGACAAGCCAGGTCTCCTTGGAGTCTAGCAGGCCATTGTCGCCAATTTCATTCCGTGCTACCCCTCTGAAGCGGTACTTCCTGCCTGCCAGCAGCCCCCTCACTGTGTACTTGTTGCTGAAGACCCGCTCAGCCGCCGAGAACCGGGGCGTGGGGGTGGGGAGCTGCTGGCATCCCACTTCATGACGACATGGTGGGCGTCACTGTCCTCCTGGACAGAGCTATGGTTCCACGTCAGAGTCACGGTGTCGGTGGCCTCCTCAAACAGCTGTGGGATGGCAGGGGCCAGGGGGGAAATCTGGAATGGTTGGAATGTCTGTCAGCGGCCCCGGGCTGAAATATCCCTGCTGGAGGACCATGGGGCAACTTCTCTTCTGAGCCTGAGGTAGCAGATGTCCTGGAGTCACAAAAAACGTGTTCTGAAGTGTCACTCTGCCATTTATAGCCCTGTGACCTTGGGCAAGTTATTTACCTTTTCTGAGACCTATTTCCTCAATTGTGAAAGAAAGACTAAGGATAATTACTCATTTCATACAATGGGTAAAGTGCCGGGCATGCAGTTACTGTTAAATAAACATTCATTCTTTTCTTTCCGTGGGAGTTCAGAGATTTTTTAATGAAGTTTCCGGTCCTCTCTGAGGTCACTCCGATTTTTAATGGCTCTGTATCCCTCCGTGACCTATTCCCGTTCTCCACCCTTCCCTGACCACACTGTGTATGCCCGGAGCTCACGAATGGAGGCCGAAAGTCTTGCTCAGTGTGGCTAACGTTCAAAGTCTCTAGGGTTGCAGGCCTTTGAGAAAAAGAAAGGAAATGCCCACTCCGCTCGGCGGAAGCTGACAAAGCTTGCCTAACCCAAGGTCCTTCCCACGCTGGGAAGCTTTATCTCGGGAGGGTGCGGGCGCAGCTCTGTCCATGCGCACATGGGCGTGGTCCCCAGGTTCCGTCTGGAGCACGATTCCATACGCCCCTGAGTCACAGCGCTTGGTGCTGTTGATGATTGGGTGTAAGTTCTGCCCTTGGTGTTGGTTTCCCGGTCACAGTGGGTAGTGGTGAACCCTGGGTGGTGACAGGAGTTGGCACCATCGGCCACCCAGGTGGTGTCTGAAGGACCACCTCTTGCCAAGAAGTCCCCTGCCAGGCTCCAGTGTAGGGATCTAGCCGGGGGCAGAGGACAGGCAGAGACTGATGGGTACAGCAGCCATCTTGGTTACGTGGAGGATGGAGGGGGCGGCAGGGTCAGGAACAACTCACAGAGTCACCATGTGACTCTTCAGTAGGGCACTGAGGTCAAACTTGGGCACAGCTGAGACGGAACAGACGGAAGGAAGGACAGGGACTTCTCGCTCAAGAAGACTCAGCTTTCAGCAGCTTCCCCTCCCAAGCCTCTCCCAGCATCGCCTCTCATCGGCCCCACCAAGGCCACACACGTCTGGCTGCCTTGCAGCACCATGGAGCATTTGTGTGTTTTCTCATCAGCCTCTCCCATGCCTTCCTGGTTTCTCAGTCCCTAACACCTCCCTTGGCACGCATTGGACAGTATTTGGCCTGTAGTAAATGATTTTTTTTCAGCTGGAGACCCTGCAGAGTTACCCCTAACTCTGTCCAGGCCCAAATAGGGATTTTATTTATTTATTTATTTATTTTTTAGTTTTGGGGATTGAACCCAGAGCCTGGTGCATGCTAGGCAAGTGCTGCGCCACTGAGCTATACCTCTGGTCCTGGCTTACTTTTTCCTTGAGATTGAGCCTCATTATATTCCTTAGGCTGGCCTCAAACTCCTCAGCTTAAGCAATCCTTCTGCCTCAGTTCCCTGAGTAGGTGGAACTTTGGACACAGGCCACTGTGCCAAGCTCTGGATGATGACTTCCTCCTCCTCCTCCTCATTATTATTATTACTATTATCATCATTAGTGACACTGGGCACTGAACCCAGGGCCTTCCCCACTGAACTACATGCGTGGCCTTTTTAAATTTTTTGTTGTGTTTTGGTTTTGGTTTTTTGAGACAGGGTCTCACTATGTAGTTGAGACTGCCCTGGAACTCACTTTGTAGCCCGGGCTGGTCTCAACTCACAGTGATCCTCCTGCCTCAGCCTCCCGAGTGCTGGAATTACAGATGTGCGCCACCACACCCAGCTTGGCCTTTTAAAATTTTGATACAGGGTCTTGTAAGTTGCCCTGGTTAGGCTCAAACTTGCAATCCTCCTGCCCAGCTCAGATGAATTAGGTTTGGTCATAGCGTCGTCATCCAAGAGGAAGGTTTGGTTGGGTGTGGAGTGTTGGGCTGAGCCCCACCCTGTGTCCTCACCCGGTGGTGGCCATGGACCACTCATCTAGCTCCACAGGTTTGTCGACCCCAGCTTCGTCCACAGCCCAGATGTGGAAGAAGTGTTGATTCTCACTGAGCCCCAATGGGTAGCAGGTGCCTGAGATGGGGATCTCTGTGCACTTGGACCACTCCTTGCTGTCTTCAGCCTGCATCTCAAGGACGTAGCCAGAGGGCGGGTCTCCTTCTATAGGCTCGCACCATCCCAGGGAGATGCTTGACTTGGTGGAATCAGACATGTGCAGGCCCTGCACCGGACCTGGGGGCTCTCGGGTACCCCAAACATCTGGGTGGCCCCCAAATTCATCCCACCTAACCCCACACTGCACTCCTGAATCTTTCACTGCTTCTGTTTCCTGCAGCTAAATGCTCAATACCCAACCTTGCAAAGTTGACAGCCTTCAAAATTCAATTCTTTTACTGAATCAACAGTTTCATCCCTAAAGTCAGTAGCCTGTGAATTTAATATACCCTAAACATTCAAACCCTCTACATTCAAAATCCCAGGCTTGGGGGGGATGAGGTGGGTGGATAAAATAGAATAAAATAAAATTTATTAATAAAAAGACTGTTGAGGACTCCTCCCCCAAAAACACAAAAACCCAAAACAAAACAAAAAAAACTCCAGGTTTTACCCCAGCCATCTCCACATAGCCTTTGATAGGCAGTAACTAAGCCTCATCTTCTAAACTCAGGACCTTCCCAGTCACCTGCCCAGCACCTCCATCAATGTTCAGCCTCTGCTCCCTCACCTGACTGGAAGTACTCAGAGCTGGGGTAAAAACTTCCCACACTGTGCACGTCCCTGGCATGCAGTCTGTATTTTCTGGCTTTCTCTTGGGTGTGAGCCATGTCCCTTTGCAGGACTGGCGGATCCCAGTGAGCAGACTGACCCCTCCCATCAGACTTTCCTAGGGAAGCAGCTCTCCCACCACTTTGAATGGGCCAATAGCACCGCGTGCTTGGATGTGGCCGCCCCATACTCACTGACAGGACCCTTGGCCACCACTGAACTGCGTGGCATATTGGGTTGCCCAGGGCTGCTTTATGCCTCGGAATTCATATTCCGTGTCCTCCAGGAGACCATCCATGGTATACTTGGTGCCTGAGGTGGGAAATCAAGGGGTCGAGAGGGTGGGGCATCTGCAAGGTGACAGACCACGGAAGAGGACATCATGGGATGCTGTTACAATGCCCCAAAGGAGCTGGGCATGATGGTACATGCCTGTAGCACTAGCACTGTGGGAGCCTGAGGCAGGGGAGACCACAAGCTTGAGCCTGGTGAGGGCAACTCAATAAATAAAATTCAAAAAGGGCCAGGGCTGTAACTAAGTGCAAAGGCCCTAGGGTTAGTTCCCAGTACACAAAGCAAACAGCAACAACCCAAATGATTTGAGGGAGAGTATTTCAGAGAAGCAGTGGGCCCACTCAGCAAGATCTGCTTTTGTTCCTCTGGGACCTCTGTCCCTTGGGACTCACCCTGGATGGGGTCCTTGTGGACTGGCACCTACAGCTTACTGCCTTTTTTTCTTTGTTTCACTATGCAGCTGAGCACTGGGGGCTCCCCTATCCTGGGCTGGGGCATTCCATGTGATGGTCACAGATTCTTTGGTCACATCAGTCTCTTGGGGCTGGGAGGCAAGACCAAGGGGTTCTGAGTCCCCTCAGGGCAAAGGCTAGGAGGGGGACCATGTAGACAAGTTTTCCATCCACAACTCACTAAATCAAGAATTCTGAACTCTGACTGTACATCAACAGCAAGTAGGTAATAGGGGAATCTCACCACTACCAACTCCCCATGAAGTCCAACTCCCAGCTATTCCATTTAATTGGCCGGGGGTAGAGGTAAAAGATGATTCTAACATGCAGCCAAAAGTGTGGGTCACTGATGAAACTTTCCACCAGTGGGTTCCGCCAAGGCCACTGTTCCCATTCTGCTTTCTAGACACTGAGACGTGGAAATCAGTCCGGAAGGGTGTAGCGAGTAATGACTTAGCAACGCTAATTAAAACATCAGTATTGTCAAGGGTCTTCTTTGGAAACCAAATGAGGGTAGTTTCAAGATTAAGCCTACTGTAACGTCTACTCCTTGGGATTCCAGGATGACTTCCAGACTGGAGAAAGAAGTGGAGTTAGTTCCCTGGGACTCTGCCCGCCCACGGGGATGTGTTGTACATGGGTCTGATGTTCTGTTTTTCTTCTGCAATCCCTTTGTCCTGTGGGATGTTTAGATGAGCCGTAGAATTCCCTGAAGACCTGTGCTCCTCACCATCCTGAGCCCAAGATGCGCACCCCTGGTGACTCCCCTGGGCAATCTCACTGATCTGTGGGGTTTCCTGCACACACTTCGTGGATCTCCAGCTCACACCTTCTGAATTGACTGCCAGGATATGGAACTGGTAGGCCTTTCCCTCTTCCACTTCATTGGTGACTTTGCCTCGCCTATCTTTTTTTTTTTTTTTTAATTTTATTGAGTTTATTAGTACATTTTAGGGATACAGTACAGTTACATTCATTGTTGGGATCATGTACCTCTACATGGCAAGTCTTGATTCTCATTTTTTCCCCTTACCTCTGCCCTCCCTTCACCCCCTCCTCCCCTCCTCATCTACAAACATTTTATTTTCATCTTTTCATTCTCTCACATTTTTTGCCTCGCCTATCTTAACCCAGGACTTCTTGCCAGCTACCCTCCGTTCCACTGTGCAATGGGTCAGAGGCCACCCACCGTTGTCCTTTGGAGCCTTCCACTTTTGTTTGTTTGTTTTTGAGACAGGGTCTCACTATGTAGCTGAGACTGCCCTGGAACTCACTATGTAGCCCAGGCTGGTCTCGAACTCACAGCGATCCTCCTACCTCGGCCTCCTGAGTGCTGGGATTACAGGTGTGCATTCCCACACCTGGCTGGAGCCTCCCACTTTATGTGCACACAATTCCCCAAAGGGTTCCAGGAACTCTACTCACTCCTGCAGGGGCTTGGGACAGTCAGGGGACAGAGATCAGCTTCACAAATGCAGCACTGAACAAAGGCTCAGAAGGGCTTCTTTCCACTGGCTGGAGGACTGGCCAGGCTGGGGTACAGCTGGATTCTAAGCTTTTTGGGTCCTTTGCTGCTTCTTACTTGTCCATCCCCTCTAAGACTTGCTCTAAAGCTTTGATCCTTGCTTGTCTAACCTTCTTCCTGCTTACGAATGGGTGGACTGCAGCTCTTGGGGACCCCAGCTTTAACTGGTCCCTGTTCTCTTCCTCTTCCGAGCTTCTAGAGCACCAGTGCTTTCTGGTGTCACATCTACCGTATGTTATAATTACTTATCTGTCTACCATTTTTTGGCCGTTGGGGTTGAGGAACTACTGAAGATACATCACCTCTGTGTTCCCAATGTTGAGAATACAGAACACATTTCCTCTGCTGAACTGAATTGAAACGCAAACCTTTCCACCCCTCAACTTGCTGGAAATGCAGGCAGAGGAGGTGCTGATGGGGTCGGTGTGGGTTGGGTGTCAACTGTAAGCGCATGAAGGCCAGCTCTTATCTCATTCTTCGCCCTCATGTTCAGACCAATCCTAACCCCACTCCGGCCCTCATTCCAGCTCCCCCATCTTACTTTATCCCCACCTCTCTCCATCTCCCTTCCCACATCACGACGCTGGCCAATCAACCTCATTTCCATCCTGAAGTCCCACCTGCTTTACCTCACTTCCTCCTTAGCTGCAGCCACGTCCTCATCATCCAGCCGGTGACAGTACTTCGGCAACACTTTGGAAGGTCTGTAAGGTGCCATACTCTTGCCTCTGCACATGAAAATCACTAGAAATAGATACTGGGGGGAAAAAACCACCCTGTTCCTGTTGGGAAACTGAGGCTTAGAAGTTCACTTGGCCAAGGCTACTTGGGAAGTGGAAAGCCAGCACTCCAATCCCATTCCCAGCCCAAAGTGCAACTGTGTCCTGGGTCTCCTTGCCGGCCCGTCACCGCCCTGGGCACCGGGCAGAGGTGCCCCTCCATCATCTAGCACACTGAGAGGCAGAGTGGCTGAGGCTGTGCGGGGTCATGCTTGAGCTTGAGCAGGGCCCGGCTGTCTTTGCGCGCAGTTTGAGATGGTAAGCAGTGCCTGGTCATCCTTGTTCCATGGACACGCGTTCCTCCTCCATCCTCTCCATGCTGTCCTTGGACCACGTCGCTTTGGGCAGCGGCCTTGCCCGGGAGGGCACCTTAATGCGCGCCGACCGTGAGGCCCACCTTCACAGTCACAGGGTACGCTTCCAGGGCCTCCAGGATGGATGGGTTGATGGTAGGAGGACCTGTCCTAGTGGGCAGGCAGCAGGGACAGTCAACCACCCGGCGTGGGGAGGAGCCGGAGGAAGTGGGGGCGTGTGGCCAGGCCACGCCCCCTGAACCTTGTCTGCCTGGAGTCCCGTGTACGCGCGCCCTTGGCCCGGAACGGAACTTACCCTCCTATTCTGGGCTCTTCTGAGGAGGATGAGCTTGTGCACCTCACCCTGCTTCACCATCTGCAGGCCAGGCGAATCCGTGCTCTGAGGGGCAAGGCTGAGGGTTAGGGCAGGTCACCTCCTCTGTCCCCTTCCCTGGCCCCTGTCGTGGACCTCACTGGCATCCAGCCACACGCCCTCCTCCTTCTCCTTGTCCAGCACTGCTCACAGCTCGGCTGCGGTTCGGTGGCCGTGCATGTCGGAAAGCCCACTCTTCACTGTGGCCAGACTCGTTGAGGACAAACCCGGGCTGGGACCAGGGCAGGAGGCAGGGGGTGGGCGGACTCATGAGAAAAGGGCTGGTGGCATGGCTGTAGGAGCAGTCGGGGCCGCTGTGTCGATCAAGATCATTCATGATGAGCAGGTAGTTTGGTGACGGTCAGGCCATTTCCAGATGGTCCCTGAATGGAGCAAGTAGGCGGAAGGGGGTGTTGGGTAAACTCGGCGGCTTGACATTGAGTAACCAGGAAGACTAGGAGAGATGCAGATCATCAGTGCAGTCGGGATGCTTAGTTCTGCTTATGCTGGCCTGTGGGATGCCCAGTCACTGGTGCAGAGAGGGACCGGGGTCAGCGGGAAATGGCTGTGGTCAGGAAGTAGGAGATGGTCAGGATAGAGAAATTTGAGACGATCGCTGTGGTTAGGGATGGGTAGAGTCTGGAAGTAAATGATCAGTCACAGACTCTGGGATAGAGCCTGGGAGACAGCGGATGGTTATGGATGTTCAGGGTACAGCGGATCAAAGGTGGTCAGCATTGGGGGATGCGGGGGTCAGATGTTGGCCGTGGTCTGCTGGAGTGTGGAGGAGGGCAGCTCAGTGTCAAATGAGTTGCTTGGTGTGGACCGACAGACCGGGTGTGTGCCTTCCACAGCGAGGGTGGCAGTACTGACGTATTCAGTGGGGTCCCCATGGTGCACTCGCTGCCACCCCCGAGATGGGCGTCCTCCTCGGCCATCTCTGCACGCTCGTCCTCATGGCCCATGCTGTACTCGGAGCCCGTGTCAGCAGCCGCCCACCTTCCTCCCGGCGCAGTCACGCGCTTGGATGTCAGCTCGCACCCCAGGCATGCGCGGCTCCTCTCACACCCGCGCGCTTGAGGGCGCTCACAAACTTGATGGGAATGCCTGGAGACTGACAAACTGGCCTTCTCCTGACACTATATCCTTTCTTCTGTACGTCTGTGTCCAACCACGTACAGCATTTAAAAATCATATTTAGTAATAAATAAGACTGACCTCAACAAGAAAGTGTGCTTAAGTGCTGGGAAGCTCTGATGCTCTCAGCAGTGGATATATATGTTTCTAAAATTTTCATTTTTTTTTTTTTTTTTTTTTTGGTACTGGGGTTGAAACCCAGGAGCTTTGCACTGAGCTACATCCCCAGCCTTGTCATTTTTTATTTTGAGACAGGGTCTCACTAAGTCATTGAGTTCCCAGGCTGGGCTCGAACTTGCAATCTTTCTGCCTCAGCCTTCCAGAGTGCTGGGACTGCAGCGCATGCTAACTTGAGCTATGAATATGTCTCTGGGCCATATGTGACCCGTGAAAGCACACAGCAGGGAGAGTCCCAGCTCTACCCCTTACACGCTAGCTGACCCTGCACAACTCACTCACCTCTCTGAGCTTCAGATTCTTCGTGTGTAAAACATGAAAGATGGAATGACGGATGGATGACAGAAAACTGAGCGCACAGAGCAGCGGAGGCCTGAAGCCCACGCCCCAGGTTCTTGCCTAACCCCTTATAATTAATAAGGAGCTCAGCCTTCGCTACCAGGTCCCCTGCAAGAACAGAGAACTCACCGCCTGGCTGAGCCTGGCACCCTTACTCTTAGGCATGTGAGTCAGACCGTCCTCGGACACTGAGATTTCAGGCTTGCCATGCCTCGTCAGCTCCTTCCCACTGAACTTCCACACAAAACTGGGCTCTATCTTGGAGAGCTGGACGTCGAACACAGCCGCCGGGAGCCTTGACACCTTCACTGCCTTCATGTCTCCCATGAACTCCTGCGGTTCGTCTGCAGTGAGGTGGGGAAGGAAGAGGGGCAGGGAGACTCGGGTGCCACTGGCTCCCCGTAGCTCTCAGGTGGGGGAAGCATCCTTCCCTTCATCTCCCCATTTTACAGATGGGGAAACTGAGGTAAAGAAGCTGAATTACTTTCCTTAAATCACACAGGTCATAAGGGGCAGAAGCTGGGATTTGAACCCCAGTAGTCTAGCAAAAGAGTCTGTCTGTCTTTTAAGCACTGCTCTGCACCACCCCACAGCACTTATTCCTCACTTTCAGCTCATGTTTCTTTCCTCTACGAACTCCCACCCCCATGCAGTCCTTTGGTGCATAGCCCTGCAATCCTCTCTTCAGCACTCCACAACCCCTCCCTGGCCATTCCTCTCCCCGAGGCCCTGACATTCCCGCTGTGGCCCCTGAGGCCCTCACTCTTACCCAGCACTGTGGGCTGTGCACACGTCCGCTTCTCGCCCACAGACAGGCTGTCGACACCAGGGTCACTCGTGCGCATGTTGGCACTTATCAGCGGGCACTTGGTGCCCATCTGCTTCATGTTGTACTTGCCCTGGGAGTACTGGATCCTCAAAGGCTTGGTATCCTGCCTCATGGAACAGGTAGGAGAGTGGATGAAGGGGAGTAGGAGGACACTCCCAGAGCCCCTCAGAGCCAGCCTGAGCTGGAGGATGCACATCCCTTTCTAAACACATCCAGAGGCCTCTATGATCCTTCTAGCCTCATCTTTTGGCTTGTCAGGATCCAGGACCCCTGTCTCCCTACAGATTCTGACTTTTTTGGTTTTTTTGAGACACGGTCTTACTGTGTAGTTGAGACTGACCTGGAACTCACTATGTAGCCCAGGCTGGTCTCGACCTCACCTCGATCCTCCTGCCTCAGCCTCCCGAGTGCTGGGATTACGGAAGTGCACCCCATGCCCAGCTTTACCTGACTCTTAATGTACACGAGTTCATCAGATGCTTCCTTAACGATAGGCCCAGATGGTCTGTGACATTCAGGGCTTTCTAATATGGGTACACTGAGGCATAGAAAAAGGAAAGTCACTGTCCCAGATTTTAAAAAATCTGGTATAAAAGCTAGAAATAAAGTCCAGCTCCCAGCTTCCCACTGCCCCATTAAGTTTACTGGTACATTTAAAGCAAACAATACAGTTGCATTTATCATTGGGTCCCAGCTTCTTTGATCCATACTGGAAGTCATCCTCTTGATAGACTGGAAAAGAGGCCATGGCTCATGGACAGTGAGGCTGTCTGAGAGGGGAGGGCATGCAACGAATGCTGTAGTCAGGGTGGACCCCATCTAGGTGTTTGCCCCACTGTGATCCATATGGTCTCGGCATTGGGGTCCTTCACCTCCGCGATGCAGTCAAAGGCTACGATTGTGTCAACTTTGGTCTCTGTGTCTTCCGGGGGCTTCAGAATCTGGATGGTCCGAGAGATTATTTTAACGCAATGGTAAATGTCAGAGGATGTGGAGCCTGCGCAGACTGTGTCCAGAATCCTGGAGGGGCCCCTAAGGGACTGAGGGGAAGGGACCAAGCCTTCACCCCCACCCCACTGACTGACTGTAAGGTGTAGGAGCAGAAGCATATGATGGGAGATGAGAAAGGAACCACTATTCCAGGAAGAGTCGCCACGGACTGGAGCCCAGTGCACTGATGCTGCAATTGTGGGTCGGTGCTGAGTGAAGCAATGAATGCCTAGAACGACACAAACACGAAGGAAAGAGGAAAGCACAGGTTCCGTTTGCAGCGGAGAGACTGAAACTCAGAGACACCCAAAGTCAAGCTGCTAACGGGCAGCAGAACTGGGATTTAAACCCAGGTCTGTGTGACTCCAAAGTCCGTGCAAGTACATTAGGGAGAGGTAAAGAGCAGAGGTAGGGGGCTGCTCTCACGGTGAAGGGCCCTACAGCATGTCTCTGAGCGTGAGCATGCAGGGCGGGGAGCCCCAGGCGCGGGACTTCGGGTGGAGCCCAGCCCCTGGCCTGCAGGCTCCTAACCGCCTGCTGGGAACGGACGTTCACTTCCACTTTTTTCTCCATTCCTTTGAGCTTCATGAGCAGGCCCTGGAAGTCAGTGAAACCGGACTCCACGCAGACCTTTGCAAGTCCTTCTTGGGTACCTTGGATGAAATCTCCAGCATCTCTTTCTAGTGTGTCACCTTCTGCTCCTTCTTGGGAGCGTAAGGAAGAGCCCTGGGAGGAGGGGGGGGCAGAGGAGGAGGAGGAGGGGGATTTTTTTGAGGGGGAGGGGGGACCGAGCTTGTGCTCAGTGTCTCTCTCTGAAGACAGAGGGAGCTACCCACCATCTTCCCACTCCATGGATTCCTGAGACCTTTGAGAAGCTACAGCAGGGGAAGCAGCACCTTGGGGGAAGGAGCCCCCAGTCTCACTCTTCTTCAACATTTTCTTGAAATCTATTTTTTTTTTTTTTTTCTTTTGTACTGGGGTCAAACTCAGGACCTTGTGCTTGAGAGGCAGGTGGCAGAAGCACTGAGCTAAATCCCAGGCCCTTCCAGTTTGTGTGTGTGTGTGTGTGTGTGACCTGCAGACAGGGAAGGAGTCAAGGCCAGACAGGGAGTCGGTTCCTAAGAGAAAAGGCCAAGAGAAGTTGCCGGTTTTCCCTCTATCACCATCAAGGATGCAGTATAGATGGCGTCTGTGTGCTCCTGGCTCACCGTGCACTTGTCGGTGTCAGGGTCACCTGAGGTCAGTGGTTCCAGCGGGGCCAAAGATCAGTCAGGCCATTAGTAGGAGTGGGGAAGGAACCACAGAGACTTTCCAGAAGGTGGAGAAAGAGGGATTTTGTGGGGAGGGAGGTGACCGACGGCTGGTTGTATGTATGGAGGATGTGGTGACTTCTGTGATTTGAAGGTACCAAGTAGTAGCTGATGTGTGTTCCTGGTCTGATTCCATGATGTAGAAACATTGCTTTACTGCCAGACTCTCCCTGGACTGAGCTCCTAGAAGAAAGGGACTTCCCGAGTTGTGACTTTTATTTACAGTATCTGGTACCCGGATGAGTATTTCTTCACTTAAGGTGTTCATTTTACTCTTTGATACCAGGCCCTGGGCTGAGCTCACAGGAAACTGGTGAATAAGTGTGACTCAGTGCCTGTCTGCGCTGGGCTTCCAGCTCACCATCTGGCTCTTGGAAGCTGAGGCCCTCAGAAAGCACTTGCTGGATGAAGGAGCGCATTTAAGGGCAGCTGTGGGAGCCGTGCAGGGCTGAGGGACCAGTGGTGGTCCTCGGAGAGAGGAGGGAGCCCACTTCTCTTAGAGGGACTCCGTCCTTCTGGGACCTTGAGGGACAGAGACTTTCCTCTTTCACCAAGGGAGGTCAGGACAGGACGTGCCTGATTACAGGGACAGGAGTAATTATAGCCCTGGTGTCCCAGTGACCTATCTTCCCTCTCCTCAACTGGCTTGAATTTTGAGGTGATAGGCGGGCACCAGTTTTCAGGAAGTGCCTAGACCTCTCCCAACTGCAGGACCTGTCCCTCCTATCAACCTTGCTGCACGCAGTATGGCCCGGATTCCCCTTCCCAGCCCTGTCTGTCACCACTTTGGTCTCTCAGCTCCTAGGCTGCCCCTCTGCCTTCTTTCCGTGGTCCTGGAACCTGCCTAGCTCTGCTTTGCCCAGGGGATAATTGTGGACCCCAGAGCATCCGCAGAACAGCGGCCCTTTTCCTTCCGGACTCTGGGTCGGGGACCTCGGGGTGGGGCCGCACCCTCAGCAGGTGCCTTTTTTGTCTTTGTTCGGGGTGGGGGATCAAACTCGGGCCCTTGTGAAGCAGGCTGAGCTAAATCCCCGGCCCCTGTGCTCCTTGTTGACGCCGTGCTAGAATATCTTCGCCGACTCCTTGCTGGGGATGCCGCTCTCCCTCCTCCAGTGCCGCCGGGTTTGGGGTTCCCCTGCGCCCGGACTCAACACGGCTTTCTGCCCTGCGGGGGCACAGGGCGCGTTTCCGCCCAAGCCTCCAGCCTGGGCTCCGCCTTCTCTCAGGAATCTGGGTCCAGCCCGGGAGGGGAGGGACCCTCAGCTTGGCTTTGCCGGGGTCTGTGTATTGGGGGATGTTGGGCTGGAGGTTAGGGGCCGGGGAGACACGGGGGGCGGCGACACAGCCTCCGGCCAGGCGATCGAGTGAGGTTTCTCCACGGACTCAGGGCCACTCTCGCCCTCGGGGTCACCAGGCTGAAGAACTCCGTGGAGCTCGAAGATCTCCTCCACCCGATTTCCTCGGTGGGGCAGGTGAGAAGTCAGAGCCGGCTCGGGAGGGACGTGGTCGGACTCATCTTTGATTGACAGGAAGGTGGAGCAAGGAAACCAAGTGCTTTGAAGGCCAGAGGGGCGGGACCCGCCATAGTGTAGACGGCTCATGGTGTTGTGTCAGACTTCAGCCACTAGGGGACGCCAACTCCTTTCTCCCCTCAATGGTCAATGGTGTCTGTGGTTTTTTTCTTTTTTTTTCTTTTTAAATTAAAAAGGAGACTTCCTATTTTGGATTGTCTTTGTGTCCTGGGGTTTTCTTCGGAAAATCCTGGTTCCCTGGTAACATAAAGAAAGTCCATGCCTACTTCGTCCTGGGAGGGCTGTAGTTTAGCTGAACTCCTAGATTCTCTCCTTGCCACCACTCTGGGGTTTAGCGTTTGTTGCCTGGGGAGTAGTGATTTATTAAAAAAAAAATTTTTTTTTTTTTTTGCACAGCTGGGGATTGAATCCAGAGTTTACTACAGCTTTCCTACCTCTGAGCTATATTCCCAGCTTTTAAAAATTTTTTTGAGGCAGGGTCTCATTAAGTTGCCCAGATTGGCCTTGCATTTGCAATCCATCCTTCTGTCTCAGCCTTCCAAGTGATTCCCTGGCCAGGTTTGGTGATTCTTCAGTGAGGAAAAGACACCTTTCAGCAGGGTTTCATATGAGAATCTCTTTATCTGAAAGACCATACCCCCCCCGCCCCTTTTTCCCTTGTGCTGGGACTCAAACACAGGGCTAGGGATATTCCCTGCCCCTGAGCTTTTTCTCCAGCTCCACCTCAAGCCCGAGGAGCATTTCACTGTGGTAATATAATTTTCTATTTGGAAAGCAAGAACTGGCTATGGAGCCTAAAGTACGGAAGACTTCTTTGCTGGTGACAGCTCCGATTTCTGGAGTTCTTTCCCTGTCATACCTGGAGCGAGGCACACGTCAGAGATGGTTTTATGTAACCCTCACAGCATCCCAGGGAAGTAGGTGCTTTTATTATCCCCGCTAATCTGAGGCATAGAGACAAAAAAAAAAAAAAAAAAAAAATAGGTAAAAAAAAAAAAAAAAAAAAAAAAAAAAAATAGTGCCAAGCAGGCCTCATATACGGCTTTTACATAGTGGCTTTGTGGCACTTCAACAGGCAGTGCGAAGGCTGGTCTGCCCATGTCTTTTACTTGACCTCCAATGTGTAAACAACAACAACAAAAAAACCAGGCTTACAGCTGAAAATCCAGACTTTACACGTGAAAATTCAAGTTGTGGGATTCTGAACCCTAGGCTTGTCGTGTTCCCATAGAGCAGCAGTTGGTGAGAGGGGAACTAAGCTTCCGCTTCCACAGGGTGGCCTCTCCAGTTTACCCCAATCTTTTCTCCACACCTGTGTTCCCTGCCTGGACTCGGCTGGTCAGTGCATTTCAGCTGTGGCTGCACTCAGAATCCCTGGAGAGCTTTCTAAAAATACCCTATTGACTGGGCTGGCGTTGGACTCAGGTGCTCCCATTTTTCGGCTCCCGCCCTTCCCCCTACACTAAGATGACTCTAATGTGTGTTCAGGCTGGGAATCACCACTATGAATCATGTGTGTTTTCAGGTTCTGGTCTACACCCCAGACCTTGAATCCTGGCGGTTCCAGTTGCTCTGCCTCACTGGCCAGGTGTGGTTGGTAGCGCGTGTTTTTCTGGCCTTGACCTTGTGTATAGCAGACTTTGAGTGACCGCGTCCTTCTGGGACTTTGAGGCAGAGGCAATGACTTTGAGGATGGATATTCAATATCCTGGCCCCTGGCCATCTTTGAATAACTTTCCACTACAGACCTGACTCAAACAGTCTGCTTTGTTCTTGAGATCCCTTTTCAGCTTTCCCTTGGATCTGTCCTCCCCTAAGTCTGCCCCCAAGGGCTAAGAGCCTGGGAGCTTAGGTCACTTATTTGTGTGTTCATCCTGCTTCCACTGGTAGCCAAGTCTCCCATTTCTTAAGTGCAACAGGGTCAGGATCACTCCTGTGTAGATAAGGTTCCTACCTTCTCCCGGGCCTGCAATTCTATCTCTGGAGATATAGTCCCTTTGCCTCTGGGTCTGATCTGAAACAATTAAGACTTTATCAGTCCATCATGCATATCCATGTAATTGATTTATTTCTAATCCATTTTCCTGGAACTCGGATCTGTGAGCGAACCTCCAGAGCTTCAGACTGGATGCACAGATCGGGAAGGGTTGCCGTGGGCTCCAGAGGGCCCACACTAATGGCAAAGACAGAGGCCGTGCAAAGGTGGGTGTGGAGGGTGACACTCCCTCCGCCCCTAGATTTCACTTGCCTCCCGCGATCTCGGTTGTCTGGGAGAAGGTCTGAACGTGGGTGGTGGAGCTGGAGAACTCCGTGGACACGTGTTCCTTCAGTGAATGGTCGTCATGGTGACGGCAGGCTTGGGAACTCACCTGTGAGGACCAGCAGAGGAGGAGGAGGGATATCCAGAGGTGTTTGTGCTCTTTCTTTCTCTCTCTCTCTCTCGCTTGCATGTGTACACAAGGAGAGATAGAGGTGCAGGAGAGAGAGGACGGCAGTCAGGCAAGCCCTTTACTCTCTGGTCTCTACTTCCCATTTCCCTTTCTCGGATGGGTTACAAGAGCCAACATTCTTTCACCGAGTAACTCCAAGCATTTCCATGTTCTTGGGAGGGGAGGTTACAGAGCTTCGATTTACCAGCCAACTAATTCAGGCTCAGTGAAGGGCCCTAGTTAGTGGAACTGGGGAAAGGGGTGGATATTTCACCAGGAAGGAACGAAATGAGACCTAAGAAGCGATTTCCTGGCCCAGCCACTCTGGCGTAGACCTTGGAAGGAAGAGGTGGGTCCTCTTCCTGGACCTTGGGGACCCCTGGCGTTGAGGAATACGAAGCAGATGACAGTGCATTTCCACAGCTCTGTTTTCATTTACAACATGGAAAAGGCAGAGGTTTGGTTCTTATTTCTTATACTTTGGTCGGAACTGGTAATTCAATCACATTTTAATAATGCTATGAAATCTCCTTCCCATTCCCGAGTCCTCCATCTCCCAGTCTCCACCCACAGGTAGCCACATGAAGTCCCCTCTGGAGCTCCTTCATGCAAATACGGATACATGTTCTTGTCTTCTCCCTCCTTTTGACCTCAGGAATCCTATTCCACACACTGTTCTTAACGCCCCCACTCAGTATATTATCTTGAAGATCTTTGCGTAGCAAGTCATGGAGTTTCCTTATTCTTATCACAGCTCCACGGTATTTCCATGAAGGGATGTACCCACCTGCTTTACTTCACCTGATTGGCAGTTTTTTTTTGTTTTTTGAGACAGGGTCTCGCTATGTAGTTCGGGCTATCCTTGAACTATGTAGCCTAGGCTCTCCTTGAACTCATGGCAATTCTCCTGGCTCAACCTCCTGAGTGCTGGGATCACAGGCTTGTGTGGCCAGATTGGCTGTTTTTTTTTGGGGGGGGTACCGGGGATCAAACTCGGGACCTCATGCTTTTGAGGCAGGCGGCCGCACCACTGAGCTAAATCCTTGGCCCGAGTGTGGCGGTTTTTAAAATGCTCTCTGGTACACGAGGAAACTGATGTCTGAGAGAAATAACCTGGCCAAGGTCGCTGAGAACAGAATCCTATCTTCTTGATGCCAGGCCAGGGGCCCTCTAGGCTCAGAAGTTACCAGGCTGAGCCCGATGGAAGAGGAGGGGCACCTTCACCTTTTGCGCATATCCGAAATTTACAACTCTTGAATGCTGTGTCCGCAGCTTGGAGGCTCAGCTAGTGCCCGGGCTGCGCTGTGGCCAGTCTCCTCCTTTACCTCGCCTCGTGAGGTGCTGACAGCCATCAGTTCCTTAAATGCCTGTGCTCCGGGGGTGATCCCTTACTCAAGCTCAGTCAGATGGTGCACTGCTTTGGGAGTTGGGGGTGGCAGGACCGGGGTGTCGGGGTGGGAAGCAAGCTGCTAGGTCCGGGCTGAAGGAAATCCTGGGGCCCAGGAGTACTTTTTCTGTGCCTTTGAGGTAGAGGTTGCGCTGCTCGTTGCTGCTGTGTGGGACTTGTGAGCGCACATGCGCATCAAGGACTGGGAGCAAATGCCACAGGCCTTCTGTTCTCCTGGGACTGGGAAGGGGTGCGCTGGGTAGGGAGGGGGTCTGCTGCCTGGCACAAGTGCAGGGCACAATTCACACTGTACATGTGGTGCAGGCACAGTCTATGCAGCCTTACAGGACCACCCTGGGGAGGGAGAGGGAAATGCGAGCATGTCGCTGCCTTCCTTCTCTGCAGCCGTCTCTGTAATCTGGGTAGAAGGCCCATTCTGCACAGCGTGCCGAGGGTGGCTGGAGCGCATGCCCCTTTCTCCAGGGCCCCACCTGAATGTCAGCCAGCCCCGTTCTTTTGTTTGTTTGCAGCACACCCTGCACGCCTGGACCCTTGACCAATCCACCCAAGGTTCTGGTACCCTGTAGGGACCTGCTGGCCGGCCAGCAGCACTGCCCTGCAGTGACCTCCCATCTGCTATCAGTTGTGTCACAGCTACTTTTGCTCTATTCCAGGAGTCAGGGGATTAAAACAAAGTAGGAGAGTGCGGGATGGCTTAGCAACCGGGAGGGGTGACTTTCAGCCCTGGTCTTACAAGGGAAATGACTGGACCTTCTGACCGCACTGGGGGCTTCCCATTGCTGTCTCTGAGGCTCTCACTATCTGGGCGGGCTGGGGTGTCTGTGTGAGAATTCTGAAGAAGGGAATTTGGCTTTGGACTTGCGTCATACCCAGAATCTCCACAAGGGGAGCCAGTGAGCATGAGGGCCAGGCTGTGGGGCGGGGTCCCAAAGCCTTGGGCAGGGAGGCAGAAAGCAGAGTGGGGAGGTAAATCACACAGACCCAGGAGGCTAGATTTGCTCAAAATGCTCTGTTTATTGCTCTATTCAATGACCACGAGCGAATTATAAAAAGACACCCAATGTCTCTGTCTGTCGTGGAATAAAGTCAGCAGTAAAAACACGTGGCTCCAAGGTAACACATGTTGCTGAAGAGTCATGCATGCCCTGCTGAAGGGCTCTCAACACACGCGCGGACACGGGAACACACGCAGAGCGACACGCAGCAGACTCTTGGGAGGCCATTCCCACGGTGACGCAGGAAGATGCGTCACACAGATCAGATCCGGGGCTGAGTCCCCACCCCGCCCCCTCCCACCCCCACAGGGCGCAGAGCCTCTGGGTCCCACCCCCACCTGTCCCCTTCCTCTCCCACACCTCCCAAAGGCACCTCACACCCCGAGGCCATCTGGGCTGTGATGCCCACCCTAACCCAGAGACTGCCCAGCTGGGAGCTCCCTGTCCCTGGCCTCCAGGTCCTCTGCGGCCCCGCCCTCTACGTCCCAATTAAGGTCCCAATTAAGGGAACAAACTGCAGCCTGCTTTCTGGGGGAAGTGGGGTGGGGGACCCGAGGCAGGCACTTCTGCCTGGGCTGCCAGGGGCTGGAGCTCAGCCCCTTTTCCTGGGCCGAGGAGACACAGTGTCCGGTACAGAGAGCAGAGATGAGTGGACGGACAATACGCTGTGGCAGGACACTCAAGAGCGCGGCATGGAAATGTTCTGGACCAAGTAGCAGTGGAACCGTCGTTAAAACTGAGGCCCCAGGGCTGCACGGCGGCGCGGGTCAGGCCCCGGGGCCCCAGGCCTGGCCTGGCACATCCCTCCCCTGCCCTCCCCGAGTCCCCGTATGTACAGTAGGAAGAGCTATGCTGGGGTAGGGGCCAGGCCAGGCTGACCGAGGAGGGAGCACACTGAGAGGGGAGGAGAGGGGCAGGATGGGGAGCAGGCCAGGAACCTCGGCAGGGCCCGGAGGGCCTGGGAGGAGGAGCGCGGTCACTCTGGGGCCTGGCGGGACAGCTGCTTCTCATAGAGGCTCATGACGTGGTGCACGAACTGGTACTGCTCACATGTCTGGATCATGCCACCCCTGCCCAGCAGAGACGCGTGGTGGGGACGGGTTGCAGGAGGGGCCCCAGACCCAAGAGCGCCAGTCACCCGGAGACACACCGGGGGCCTTTTCCTTGTGCAGCGTGGAAACCACCCTGGCCAGCCCCTGCCCTGTTCCTCTTGCCTGGGACACCGACTGTGTGTCCTGTCACTCCCAGCCTATCCGTCCACCGGAAGAGGAACTGTCTGGACCCTGCCCCTTTGCCGGCCACCACGCTGCTCATCTGCCTGTCGGTCGTGCCTGTGCATCATCTGCCCCTCGCCCGGCGCACACATCAGACACCCCCTGCTGCCACCCCCACCACGCGCTGACCTGTCTTGCCGGAGCTGGCACGTGGTCTTCAGGATGTCCACCACGCCCTCATGCCGCAGCTGCTGGCAGCAGATGCTGGTGGCGATGAAGCAGCCGGTCCTCCCAATCCCTGCGCTGAGGACCGTGGGGGAGGACGGGTGAGGGGCAGGGCGGCCCAGGGGCTGGGGGCCCGGCCCGGCCTGGGGGGCTGGGAGAACCCACCTGCAGTGCACGATGATGGGGGCGCAGTGGGGCCCCTCCTGCTGGGCTGCCTCCTCCACCTCCCGCACCAGGTGGAGGAGTGGAGGTGCCCGGTCTGGGGTCTTCTGGTCGGGCCAGGATGTGAACCAGTAGTGCTTCAGGCCTCGTTCTTCAGCCCCACTCTGCCCAGGAGACAGAGGCCCAGCCCAGAGACATGTGAATGTGTGCAGCCCACAAACCCGACACAGACGGGCCCAGGGAGGAAGTCACAGTGCGACCCTTCAGTGCCCCCACCCGCACCCCACTGCCCGGTGCGGGAGGCACCGAGCCAGCCGGCATCTCGGTGGCCTGCTCCTAGGTTCTGTCTCAACATCTCCAGGGCCATCCAAGGCCAGAAGCCCCTTTTCCAATTTACTGTTTTCCAGGTTCCTTATCTTGACAAATGTCCCCATGGTCCCTTTGTCACCAGACCTAGAGCCCTGGGACTCTTTCCCCCACCTGTGCTTCACCTGCCCTATGCGACCGTCCCCACTGTTACCTCCTCTCCACCACTGCCCTCGCTGTGGACTCCATCTTCTCTCGGCTGCGTTGCGCTCCCTCCTCCTCCTGACCAGCCCAGACCCACCGCAGTTGGGATGCTCTGTCCCGCACAATTCTCCTTGATGCCCCCTAACAACCTTTGTGTCCTTCCACCCCCCAATCCATATGTTCAAACCTAAGTCCCACTGTGTGTTTGAGGGTACAGTGTGACTTGGACTTCCCAGCCTCCAGAACTGGGAGAAATCAGTCTGCTGTCTTTAAACTGCTCTGTCTCCTGGTATTGGTCAGAGCAGCCTGAATTGAGACTCCCTTCTGAGGATCTCACTGCACTTGGAATAAAACCCACTCTCCCAGTCCCTAGCCTGGCAAATAGCATGCTGGGAGCAGCATCTACTCTTCCAGGAACATCTGCTGCTGCGTCCTTTTGCTTAAACTCCTGTGCTCTACTTGGTAGCAATAGAATGTCTGCAGTACAGTGCGTGCATGTAACACACGCGCACACACACACACACACACACACACACACACACACACTGCATCACAGAGCTGTTGCATCACATAGGCGCCCCTGATCAAGGCCCACTCATCTTTTCAGGCCCCATTCAGCACCATGATGTCCAGGAAGCTCTCCCGGAGCATGGCAGCTGGCAGAGTATCTATCTTCTGTAGCCTCGCCTAGCTCTAGCTCAGTACTTACCATCTTACAGGCACTTCCGGGTGGGAGAATTCAGGCTTTGGACAGCTGTGCACCTGGTACCCAACTCAGAATCAGGCCCAAGGCTGGTGCTTGTTGGCATTTTATGGACAAAAGCAAACACCCTCAACCTCCAAGATGCCTTGGTTCTTCCACTAACCGGCCCTACAGCATTGCAAGTCGAACATCCCTGGCCGCAGCCTCTTTCCTGGGCATTTCTAGGTGGGAAGCAGGTTCCTAGGCTACCCAGCTGTGACTGCTACCACAGCCTCCCTGGCTCCGCAGGCCCTCCAGAAAGACTGGATCTTAGCGCTGCGCAGATGGGTGCTGGCCTAGCATCCTATCCAGTGAGAGAGGGGGCAGCTCAGAGCTTTAGGTCACAGGCCTTGAACTCATTTTGCTGGAGCTGAACTCTGTGGCTGTTTTCATCAGTGCACATTGCAACCTGTCTGTAGATAAGGCTTCAGGTCCTGGTGCTTGGTTCAGCTTTTCCACAGTTCGGAGTTATTCCAACGGACTCCACCCTTCTCCAATTCAGAGCAGAAAGAGAACCTACTAATTTCTCTGATACCAAAGGAACAATCTCTTCTGTTATGCTATCCTGGAAGAAGCACAACTTCAGGGTGGGAGGATACCTCCCCCCACTCTTCTGGGCTGTTCTCAATTGCTCATACTGTGCGTCTTCCTTTTCTTGCCATTTTCTGCAATCACAGCCTCCCTGTGCAACCCCAAAGCAGCAAGAAGTGCCTGCTCTCTGGTGGACATGTTGGGCACTACAGAGTAGAAGCCCAGTGTCCCTGCTAGACTGGACCCCAAAGTCATAAGGACCCTTCAGTAATAAGGGCAGTGCTGGAAGCTGCTGACCCAGACATTCCTGGCCTTGGCAGTACCTGACACAGAGCTACAAGACACTGTGAGTGGCAGCGTAGACAGTGAGTCCAACGGCATTAGAGGCAACGCTGGTTTGGGAAACGCAACTGGCACTTTGGCCTCTGGCCCCCATGTCCATGCACCTGTCACCCTGCTCGTCAGTGAATTCTGGGAGTGACACTGGCCTGTTTCAGCTACAGTGGACTTCCGGTCTCTGTGGAGACCCCAGTGGAGACCCTATCCCCACCTTCCAGCCCAGCCCAGCCCAGCCAGCGCCGGGCCTCACCCTGAGGGAGATGAGCCGCAGCCGGTAATCCTCGGTGTGAACGACCTTCTGCACGATGATCTCCACGCCGTCGTACACCACCTGCTCCTCTGGCCAGTACTCAGTGCATTTCTGTAGGGCCCAGGTGAGGCTGGGACACACCCCATTCCCCCATCCTCCCCAACACCCCCTCCCGGAGCTGGGGCGGGAAACAGAAGGGCAACACGTTGGCTGTCAGTGTTGGGTTCAAACCTCAGTTTTATGACTTGTAAAGTTACTTTTCTGAGCCTCGGTTTCCCCGTCTGGAATTTGGAAATAGTGCTCATTTGAAAGACTTTTATGGGGACTCAATGACATGGGCCATTATGAGTGTAGACACAGCCAGTGTTAGTCCAGTGGCCTGGGAGGAGCAGGACTCCTTCCCGCTTGAGACCATGGGCACTGGAGGGGGACAGGCCAGCTCGAGGCTCTGCCTCCGACCGGGCAGCCCTGAGCAGAAGACAACCTCCCAGAGCCTCACATCTCCTCCTCTTGACAGGAGAGTGAATGCTGCCAGGCCCATAGAGTGTGGGGCGTAAAGCAGCAGCTCTGGGCAGCGGTGCTGGAGTCCTACCTCGTTCATCTCCTCGATGTTGGTGATCATGACAATGATAGGCGTGTGCTCCTGCCACACCATGCGCCAGAAGTCGGCCACCGTGCTGACAATGGGGCCCTGCGTGGCGATGTACACCTTCTCCTCCCCACGGTAACCCTGCGACCGATCAAGTCCACAGGGTCAGGGTCAGAGGCAGGGCTCCCGGGGCCGACAGAAGCCAGGCCGGTTTAGGGCCAAGCCTGGAGGATGGATCACGGGGACCCTGCAGGGATGAGTCTACGTACCCGGATGTAGTTGGCGTTGATGTAGCTACTCAGAGGGTCCTCAGGGTCTGGTGAGGTCAGACACACTCTGCTGTGGGGATCTGGGGTTGGAGGAGACAGGTGAGGCTGGGAGCTGGGTCCACTCATGCAGTTCCCACTTTCATGGCCATCCCAGAGCACCTGCATTTTTTTCTGAGACCTTAGTGCTTCTTCCTTCCCCTGCTCAGAAGCAAAGCACTGATCTGTCCCTGATCCATGCAGGCAGGCGAAGAGGGAGAAGGAGCGAGAGGCCCCGCGTCTCACCTCTGTGGCGTCAGTGCCTGCCCCTCTGCCTGTGTCCCAGGTTTCCCTGTGCTCACTCATCTCGTGTCTGGAGTGGGAAGAGCCAGCCAAGAAAGGAGTGAGCCAGGGACAGGCCCCGAACAGCAGGCAGCAGCTAGAGTTTGAGAGTGCAGCGTCACACTGCGTCTGTGTCACCTTGTAAAACACAGGGCCTTTCGAAGCCTTAATTTTCTGATCTGTAAAACAGGGTAAAAACCATTCTCTTCCGGGGCTCTATAAACTCTGAAGTACTCTACGAATAGAAACTGTGGCAGATTTACGGGATGGACAGTTGAAAGACAGACGAAAGGGCGAAGCCATCCACGTCTGAAATGAGACAGCGGGGTCCTTGCGGCACCGACTCACACCCACAAAGGTTTCCCAATCTTTCCCCACGTCAGACCCCACAGGAATGGATTCCCATAGCACCTTGTTCCTCCTGGGGTAGAACTGTTCCAGCCAAAGCCTCGCCTCGTGACTGTCAGGCGGAGAGGCCGTGACTGGGAAGGAGACACTCTGGGGGGTGGGCAGGGACCTGCCTGGGTCCTGGTCCTGCTCGGCTTTAGCCCTTCTCTGCGCCCCACTTTCTCTACCGTGACCAGGAGGGAGGGCCGGACTAACGGTGCTTCCAGTGTGCATATTCTGGGGCTCTCGAAGGCAGGGAAGATGTCAGTAAGTCGACAACTCCAAGCCATAGAACTTGGCTTCAAATGACCCAGGAGAACTGAGTAACTCAGTGGTATTTTAGAATGTCCGCCTGGGCCATTCCTCTTCCTGTTCCTTCTCTGTAAACTGGGGATACTCCTTCTGGGACGACTTCACGTACCTGTTTTTATTTTTTGAGACAGGGTCTTGCTATGTATTCCAGGATGCTGTTGAACTCACTATGAAGCCCAGCCTGGCCTCAAACTCAGGGTGATCCTTCTGCCTCAGCCTCCTAAGTGCTGGGATTATTGGTGTGTGCTGCCACGCTCAGCTGAAGCTCACTTATCTTACAATGGTGAAGGGTTACCGTGAATACGGAGCCCTGAGACCAGCGATGTGGCCAGTGCGTGGCAAACATGGTGGAGCGGGCAGCTGCCTTTGCTGTCGCTGACCTTTTGCCATAGTGAACGAGTACCAAGGACGCCCCCTGGTGGGGCAAAGGGAGGTGAGGGGCATGAGCTGCCCTTTCCAGTCCTTATGTGAGGGATGCAGATATTAGGGAACCGTAGAGGCGGCGGGAACCATTGTCTGCCAAGTCCTGACCGAGTACAGAGTGTCGGGCGCTGTGTTCGTGAGGATGCTGCTCGCCCCAAAGCAGGCCTGGTGTGGGGCAGGCAGTCCAGTAGTGTGTGCAACAGGGGCCCGGGACTTGGCTTGGCAGCTGGGCTTCCTGGAGGAGGTGGCACTGGGCTGGCTTAGAGAGGTGACATGGGCAGTCCTAAGAAGAGTGACCCAACCAGATCTCTGTTTGGCATCTACTGGGGACAGTGGTGGGCAGGATGGAGAGATTGTGGGAGTCGGGAGATTACTAGGGCGGCTCAAGTAATCAGAGTCGCGGGCGCAGGGCTGCCCTGCCTGGCACCACTCTGGGGGCATTTCCGTCGGTGTAGCACGGCACCCCCTGGAACCGGGCAGCACGGAAGCCTGAACCCCCAAAGTCATTCTGCATCGAGGATGGAGGGGGAGCTATACTGAGAGGCCCTATTCACACATTCACTCGTGCCCTTGGATAGGTGCAGGCTGCTGCCGTGTGCCGGGCGCTGTTTCGGCGCTTGGGACCCAGCGGGGAAGGAGCAGGATTCGTTCTGTGTCCTGTCTTCATTGCTGCCCCCTCTGACACTGCCTGACCACACAACGATCTGTCACTAGGCCGGGAGCAATGCGTGTAGCGCCTGTGTGGCATTCATGTCCAAATTCTTGTTCCCTGGGGCTGGGGCTCAGGTAACGTGTCAGATGAACTCGAGCAGCAACCTCACCACGGGCTGGATCCGGAGTGGCCTCTGCTAAGCCTGACCTGCCTTCTGTCCCCAATCCCGGTCTCTGAAGACAGAGGCCGGACTTGTGGCACAGACGAGATTCTCTGTTGGGCGTGGGGACCTGGACGCGCAAGGCAGCGCTGCAAGTGGCTCGAGCCTGTCAGTGGGGCCCACGTGGGGCACAGCCTGACTGTCCTGGCCGCTTGGAGAAGCCAGCAAAGCCCTGGCTAGGTTCTGGGGTAGCGGGGCCCCTCCCTCCAGGTGGAGCTGGGAAGGGGAGGGCAAGATGAGGGAAGAGGTGAGCCGCACTGAATAATGCATCCTGGCCTTAAATGGTGCTTTGTTTAACCGGAACTACCTAGAGACTGTGTAACCATAGCAACCACAAGTCGATATTTTAAAAGTTAAAAATAAGTCGTGACATCTTACATGTTGTTGGAGATGCTGGTGGCAAAACTGCTTTTTTTAAAGCCACGCTACTCAACAAACCGAGTGGAGTAGGTTTTTGGGGATTCTCTTCTAACAAGTTAACCCCCGCCACGTTAGCCCTTGAAGTCTGAGGCCAGACAAGGCAGGGGTAGCAGGCCGTCAGGGGACTGATGGAAGTTCCCTGAAAATGACACCACAGGGATGAGATGGGAACATTGGGTCATCTGGCCTAACTGCCCTCAATGGAGAAAAACCCTGCAGGCCTTGCAGGGACAGTTCATACAGTCTCACTAGAATACACCGAGTGACAGGGAGCTCACCACCTGTCAAGGCAGCTCATTCGCCTGTGGGGTGGCTCTGCCTGCTGGAGGACTGGCAATTTGATCCAACCGAACACAGGTGGACAAAAGCGCTTGCCTTTGGGCTCACAGAGGCCCAGGTTGGAAACAGCTCTATCCTTCCTGTTTGACTGTAGGTACAACACTTAACCTCCCTGAGCCTTACGTTTCTCTCCTGAAGATCTGCCCACTCGCAAGAGAGAAGGCTGCAGATACATGTTTCAGGGCAAGCCCCTCTCTTTGGGTATCCACAGAACCTAGCACAGCACCTGGCAGGGAAGGCAAGGATCCAGGCAGGCTGTGTGACCACATGGACTGACCCCTGCCCTCCTCTGTCACCTGCCCTCCTCCCATCACCCTTGGCGGCCCACTCTGGGCTGAAGGTTGTGTCCCATGCACAGGTCCCCCGCCCCTGCCCTGGGCAGCGAGAGAGTACTCACTGGGAAGGATGGTTCTGTACCGGTTCTTCCGAACCAGCCCAGGGATGTCGTACTCTTTCGGATCCACGAAGTTCATGGGGATTTCCTGCAGGGGGAGGACCCAGGGTATGAGCAGGTACGGACTGGCCTTCAAAGACGTCCAAAGCCAGGGGCTACTTCTTGCTCCCTGCTTCTCTTCCAGGGGCTGGCTTGAGAGCATGCGTTCGGGTGACCGCCATCTACCAGTAAAGGAGGCGGCACCCACGAAGCATTTTGAATAGCGCCTGGCGTGTGCTGAGTGCATCATAGTATGATTACTGCGTATGTAGGGCCAGCACGGCGCACATAGATTCAATCCATGGATGGGGAATGAAGGAGAACCAGACAAAACGTGACTTGGTAACCACTGCGACTCCTGGCACCTCCTGCTCCTCCACACTCCCCTCCACTCTGTGCACACTGTTTAGTACCTGCCTGCACACGTCTCATATTAGCCGTTACGTTTGGGGTGCTACATGGACCTTGTAAAGTGCGGCTGATAGTACCTTCTAAGGTCACTGTGGAGAAAAGGAAGAAAACACTTGCGCAAAACTGCCTGTGGTGGGTGCTCAGGCCAGGCTCTTTCCTGTCGGGCAGAATCTACGATAATGTACCGGGCAGAAAGGGGCGTACAGGACTCCAGCTCTTTCTTCTCGGGAGGTGACGGTGGTTGGGGCCTGCAGCAGCAGCTTGGCCCGGGTGGGAGAGGATGGTTTTCCAGAGGCATCAGGGAGGAAACGAGGCGAGGAGGAGGGTATGGGAGGAGGGAGGCAGAGGCAGGCCGGCCTGGCAACAAGCGGACAGACCCTGCAGGCTGCGGGTGCGGCGTGAGGCTGGAGAAGGAGGCCGGGGCCAGACCCACTCAGGCAGGGCTGGCAGGCTTCTTCTGTAGGCGGTGCCAAGCTCCAGGAACATTTAGCAATGAGTCTGAGGGGACAGTGGGTGACCTGCCTGGCTGCTGAGTCTGACCGGGGAAGTGGGTTTTCGAGCTGTGGCCTCTTCCTTCCTCCTCCCTAGGCTTCCTGCCAAGAAAGAAGGATGGGGGTGCCCTCGATGTGTCAGGAAGTTTATCTGATTCTGAGACCGGATATCAGAAAGCTTGCTCTTGCCACATACTGATGATCCGCAATCCAAACCCATGCTTTCAGGACAACAAAGGGGACGACAGTCTCCTAGGTGCTAGCTGTCATGCACCTAGCTGCAGGATGGGATTAGGAGCGAAGCTAGGACCAGGGGTAGCAGCAGGGAGGTTGCTGGAGAGATGCCAAGAAGACAAGTGATCCTTGGTGATGCTGGGCAGAGGAGGGAGGGGACAGAGTGGGGAGAGAAGGCTTCTAGAACTCCAGAGCACGTCCTGGCCGTGGCCCTGGCCCTGGCAACTCCACTGCACACTGACTCCATGTGATCATCCCTCTCAGCCTTACGGCAGCCCTATCGCTTTCACCCCATTTTCCAGATGAGGAAAGCGAGGCTCCGAGGCGAAGCCGCTTGCTCATGATGGTGGGAGAGCTGATAACAAGGTGACATTGGTCTACTCCAGACGCTAAGTCTGGGCACCGTACCCTGTCACCTGGCTGCGTGGCCGAGTGCCATGTGTGGAAAGGTGTGCCCAGGGTGGGGGGCTGGCTCAGAGGGACTCACAAAGAACTCGGCCTGCAGCAGGAAAGGGTCCAGGGCCTTTTCGTGCAGCTCCTCAGCTCGCAGGATGCGGGAGGCGCTGAGCAGGTACTCGTGGGCCAGCTCTTCTCGAGGTGACACGAGGTAGCCAAAGCCCTCTTCATTGCAGCCCGGGGTGCACATGTCCAGGGTCAGGGAGACGTTGGAGCCCCGCCTGGAAGGCCCAGGGGAGAGGAAGTGAGACTCTGGCAAGGAGATGCTTCCCTGGGGACTTTGGGTGTGGACAGAGGCGGCAGGGCAAGAGGGTTCGCTGGGGAGGGGACCCTCACATCAGGAGCACAGTCTAAGCCCCGAGGCACAGGCCTCCCATGGTGAGGATTTAGGGCTCCAGGTCAAAGCAAGCCCAACATAGCTCCTTCGCCTCTCCTGGGCCATTGCTGGGGCCTGTTCTCCTGGACCCCAGGCAGCCCACAGAGGAGACGGAGACGCAGGGCAGAAAAGCAGGTTTCCAGCCAAGAGGACAGGACGGCTCCAGACCTCTGCACACAGTTCTGGCCTGGCAGTCCTGGGGGGAGGCTGCCAATGGGTTAGGACATCTCATGCAGCAGAGGCAGGGCCACCCCACTCCAGGGAAGGAGGGGTTCCAGGGGCAACACGGCAGCAGCGAGGACATCTACACTGGACAAACTACGACCTGTCTAAAATCATAGACTAGGAAGGGCCTGCATTATGCAGGTAGGGAAGCTTGAGTTCTCACAGGGGACAAGAATTGCCCAGGTTCTCAGAGAAAGAGGGTGGGAGAGCTGCCTTCTCATGCAGTGCTCTTTCTGTAACATCAGGTAGCTAACTCAGCCTGATACGATCTGCGTTACCCAGGTAGGCTCTGAGAAGAGGGCTGTCTACACCTCCCCGAGTGTGCTCCGTGGAACACACAAGACTAGAAAAGCAGGGTCCTGTGGCCAAATGGCTTTGGGAAATGCCACATGCTCTCCCCTCGCTGATTTACAATGAACACAGGTGTGCTAAAGGTCCTAAGAAGATCCTACCATGAGGAAACCTACCCACACCTCCTAGAGTCCAAGAGAGCACTGCACACACCTCTGGGCGTGCTGGGACAGGATCTGTCTGTGTTCCCCTTGGGCCCCTGTGCTCTTCATCTATGGCCCAAAGGACACGCATCTACACTGGCTAAGCCGCGAGGCGAGCTCTGTCCTGGGCACCTGGAGTCAGACAGAGCCCGAGGGCCCACGGTGCCCACCCCTCCGCCACCCCTCCCACCTCTCCTGCAGACCCATGGACTTGACGGTCAGCGAGGTGGGGTCAGCCTCGGGCTTGATGTCCATCACGCAGTCAAACACAGGCGTCTCGGGCACAGGGTCCAGGTCCAGGAAGTCATCCTCCACCTTGCCCTCCATCCACTCTGAATAGGTGAAGGAGGGCTGGCGGCTCACGGACTGGCGCCTGTCCTCCGGGGGCAGCGGGGAGGGGGCCTCTGGGGGGCCCTTCAGGACGTGCCACACCTGGTTGGGAGCACAGGGATTTGGGGACCACGGATTCTACAGCTTCAAGCCCTCTGATCCTCTGAGTCCCTGGAGCTGCCGGCGAGCCACTGCTGCTTGCCTAGGTGGGAGCTCAGCCCCCGCTCCCCCTCTGGCCATGCCCCTCCCCAACCCTCAGTCTCTTGTGGATTCAGGCTTTCATGGTGGGGCCTGGGGCTTCTCCCTGCCTCACAGCCTCTCCCCAGCCCCGATCACTTCCACCAAATCTTTAGAAAGCAGGAGTGTGTCATCCCAGGCTGGGCGCACTGGTGGAAGGAGACAGATACTTGTCCTTACCCTACCCAGAACCCAGGCTGTTTAGCTTGCAGGTCATACACAGGCAGGCAGGAAGTGGGACCTCGGGGGCAGAGGAGGAAAGCACTGAGGCCGGGTCAGGAGGATGCTTACCAAGATGGTGATGAGGACCAGGCCCACAGACAGGGAGACCAGCAGCAGACAGGGGATGTCCCAGGTCTCTGTGCCCAGCGAGGCCTGGAGGATACCAGATAACAGGTCAGGGTGGTGGCAGGGGCAGACAGAGTTCTCATCTATTTCAAGGGCAACAAAACAGAGGCTCCAAAAGCTGCATCCCAGGTCTGGGGTGGGCAGCAGGCAGAAGAATACCAGGGGCTCAGAAGTGTCCTGGGCTCAGAGAAACCGAAGCTAGGGTTGGGGTGAATGGGACCGGAGGCCCCCGAGTGGTCCCGACCCTGGGGTTCCCCGGAGCTTACTCACCGTGGGTCCCAGCTGTGTCAGCAGTGTGAGCGAGGTGCAGAAGAGATCTGTGGCATTCTGCAACCAGATGTGGCCATAGCCGCTGAACCAGAGCACCCCGCAGGCAAGCTGGGGCAGTCAGGGGGAGTGGGCTGAGTTTAGAGCCCGGGCTCCCTGCCCCCATATATTCACCTTCAGCCTCAGCCTGGGAGCCTCTCGGGTCCAGAATGGGCAGCTAAGGGGAGGGCTCAGCTGCCATGTACCCAGAGGAGGCCCCAGGACTCTTCCTGGAGAAAAGCCGACTAATGGTAGCCACAATAAAGCCCTTCCAGGGGGACATCACAGGTACACACATGCGAAGGGAAGTCTACCAAAATGGCCTCCACAGACAGGAAGTCCACAGGATCCGTGAGTCAAGGGTTAGGGGCCCTCTGTTCTTGATTCTTGGGTTAGGGAAGACAGGGTCTGAGGAGCTTTGCTACTGAGACTGTAGCTCAGAATTCCAACCCACCTCTTACACCAGTCTTGAGGACTTGGAGTCACTGAGGACAAGAAGGCTCCTCATCCCTCTGCCTGCCCAGGTGGCCATCTTGGGGAGGAAGTGGAAGGCCGTCCCTCAACCCACCCTCTCTCCAGGCCCTTAGGAGGCCTGTGACATCCTTACCAGAAACTGTGAGGCAGCGAACAGGCACAGGCTGCTCCTGACAGTGAGGGAGTGGCTCCCATTGCCTTGAGGTGGCGGTTTCTGAGCAGGCTCTGAGGGTGGAGAGGGTGGTGGGGGTGGTGGCATCTCTCTCTTTGTGTCAGGGACCCTTTCGGCCTCGTCCAGTGCCTCCATCACTACCGGCTGGGGAAGACCTGTGGAAGGCGGGACACGCGGCTGGTGACCCTGGGCCCTGCTCATGCATGGGGCTCTGCCGACCCACAGCGGACAGCTCCTTTTGGGGTTGCTGTGGCTTCCTCTCAATTTGGGATCAGTCAGCGTGGCTCCACTTCCAGCAGTCACCCTCGATTAGCAAAGCAATATTCACCTACCTTCGTCAGAAAGAGCTGAGTGTGGGTGGACAAATTATTTCTCTTTTATTTCTCCAGTAACAGAGTTAAAATGGCAGGAGGTTTTTCAGAGTTAATATCGTTGTATTTACGCAGTTCATTCTTTTCCATTTCTTAAGGAGACAAAAAACAACCACCTCAAACTCAATTAATAAAGAAGGGGAGGGGGACGAAAGACAGCGTAACAAGGCCGTGACCCTGAACAACCCACCCACGTCTGCCCTCTGCATTGTTTTTTTGTGATCTGTGCCCTGGCTGAGGGTAGAAGCTACAGTCTTGAGCAGACTGCAGCCACGTGCCCCCAACAACTTGCGAGCGAGTGGGGACACAATGCAAGGGAGTGGGGACACCCAGGCTGACGTGGAGGATAATCTTGGTATTGCAGAATTGATACCCGATGTCTGGGGTCCAGTTCTGGTTGTTCTTAGCCTGTGTGACCTCAGCAGTCACTCCCTCTCTGAGCCTCAGTTTCTCCACCTAGAAAATGGGGGCTGGGCTCAACCTCTGGTTTTCTAACTGTGTTTTATAGAGCCCACGTTTTCTCAAGTGCCCAGGGAATGTCACAAGTGCACCGAGTCCCTCTGCCTGTGCCTCAAGTGTGGAAGCTCTGCTGTAGCCGTCCACCCAGGCTGGGTTTCTGCTAGATTATTTCAACAGAGTTCCTCTACTAACACATCTGAACACCATGGGCTTAGATTTGAGCCTTCAGCTACTGGGGATTCAGCGGCATTTACCCGGCCAGTCCCAGGTGTGGGAAATCCCCACCCAAATTCAGGTTCTAGTTTATCATCAAGAAATAAGGGGGTTCTGCTGCGTGCCTTGCAGGCTCAAGGACCTGAGTTCGATCCCTGGTACCAAAAGAAAAAAAGAACTAAGGGGCTAGGGCCGGGGATTTAGCTCAGCAGTTCCACCTCCTGCCTCTCTCAAGCGCAAGGTCCCAAGTTTGATCCCCGGTACAAAAAAAAAAAAAAAAAAAAAAAAAACAAAAGGGG